ACGGGAGCGCTGGTTGCTGGCACCGGAGAGGAGGAGCAGCCTCGCAGGAACAGCGCTCACAGCAACAATGACATCACCACGGCAGATCTCCACCGAGCAGAAAATGCAGCACCACGCTGGGCTCGGGAGCTGCATCCCCTCGAACAGAGAGCAAAAGCAACAAGCACGCTGGAAGGCAGAGACCAGCCATGTGACAGAGGGGTATCCCTTCACCACCTGCTATTTCTGAGCAGCACATGTGCAGTCACTGACCTTGGGCATTCATTCGCAAGTTTTATTCAAGGTGCATTTAAAGAGAAATAGGATCTTCAACAGAGCCAGTAACTGCAGAACAGAACATGGTATATTAACTATTGTCATTCGATTAATTATCCACACCTAATTCAGTTCTGAGATGCACAGCTCCCGTTTGGATTGTTGCTGCAGAGTGTGACCCTTTTATCCTCACAATCTCCTCTCACAACTACTTCCGAAGGCAGACTGTTATACAGCAACTACAAAGGATCGTTTTAGGAAGCTGCAGGGGGAAGCCAACTCAACTCTAACTCATCAGGCAATTAAACTGCAATTATCAAGACAATGCTGTGCAAGTATGAAGCACTCTAGTATCTGAAGGACGCAAGATTGCTGTCAGACAAGCAGCACCCAGGCAGCTTGTGCCCAGCCAAGTTCAGCATCTAGGTGAAGTCTTATCTGGACTACCTTCTGTTGAGGCAACAAGCTTTAAACTACACTACAGCTCTGCAAGAAATTCATAGGTCCATCAGGCCCTAGTAACAAGGGCTTAAGAGTAGGTCAGGTCACAGCTGAGAAGTCCAGAAGACATAATGGAACATTGCAGCACACAAGGTGAGGGTTCTGTAGTTGTTTATCAAATGCCCAATTTACTTCAGTTACTGAAGAAATTGCTGTATTATAACAACAGGGACAGGCACCAGTAAGTACATGTGAGCCCATATCAGCCACCAGTTTTAGAGAATGCAAACATCCAAGCATCCTATTTCATAGCTCTTATTCTCAACCTAGGGTTTGCCAGGCAGTCTCACGATGCAGCATTTAAAAAACACACCCTAATCAAGTATAGGCAATTTTGTTTACAGCCAAATGTTAAGTTCTGCATAAACTAGTCTCATTTTCACATAGAAGTCAGACCAAAATCCCATACATGTTAGAGACAGAGTTATTTATAGTTTTGCACAGATGGATTGATTGTAATTGTCATGTTTCCTCAAGGACAAGCTTTGCCAGAGATTTGCTCCAACAGGTAATTCACACGACCTTCCAACACAAGAGTCTTACAACAGGAGCTTTAAGAAGGTGCTGCAGAAATTGAATCTGAGAACCCTCCTGCCCTCAAGCACTTATTTTGGGTAGTAAACCAAACAAAGCACTATATTCCCAGGTCACTTCAGAGCAGAGCTTGTACATTTTCCACTTTCAGTTAAGGATTCAGTGTCGTAACATGTCTGTGCTACTCAAAGAGTTTGATTCCCTGGCTTTAGCAGGAGGGTCAGGATGGCTGTAGTGCAGTGTCTGCTACACAGTTATTTAAATTCTTAGCTTGGCACCTTCAAGGTACAACTCTTGGGGTGCCACGTTCTCCATCTCTTCTCCCTGGTGACCAGTGACAGAACCTGAGGGAAGAGCATGAAGCTGTATCGGGGGGCTTAAGTTGGATACTGGGAAAAGGTTCTTCCCCCAGAGGGTGACTGGGCACTGGAACACGCTCCTCAGGAAAATGGTCAGAGCACCAAGGCTACCAGAGCTCAAGAAGTGTTTGGACAACACTCTCAGGCACGTGGTGGGATTGCTAGGGTTGTCCTGTACAGGACTAAGAACTGGACTTGATGATCCTTGTGAGACTCTTCTAACTCAGGACATTCTGTGATTCTGTGCTGAACTGTCATTAGGGTATTTGAGGACAGGGACCACTGCATGATATCACAGGGAAGAAGAAAGTTAAACATAGCTACTGCTGTGCATCTTATCAGTTATACTTCTCACCGCAGCCTGGGAGAGCAAGAAACCGCTACTGGATTTTAAAAGTTTTCCTTACTGAGGGGTCAGATTAACCCCATCTCACAGCTTTTCTACACCAGAAGTAAAGTATTAACAGCGACACAAAGGAGAAAAAAAATAAGGCAGTGATTGAAAGTAACAGTCTTAGAGCTGCTCTAATTCTGAGGACTCCGGCCAGGCATGGTGGGTCCACTCATTAGTGCATGGAGGGCCAGTCATGTGTTCAGTCAGCTGTTGGGAGTCACAAGGGGGAGGGGGAGAGACAAGTATACTTGTTCTTCCTGAGTAAGTACAGCAAGAGAGCCCTGATTATTTAACAGGGAATATTCAAATGACTCCACCCACTTTAACCTCAAATTCAGCTCCTGAGAGAGCAGAGTATGTTGACTAAAGCAGCCCGGCTCTACTGGAAGCACAGCCAGGATACAGCTCCCATCACACAATACTGGTACCACCAGAGCCTTCAAGTCATAGCCAGCCAAATACCATGGCATAGCTGGTTATGTACCACTCCCCTAAAAAGAGAACTCTCCACTTCCCCTAGCCACAGTTCCCACACGGATATACAAAGTGTTAGGCACAGGCCAGAGCTAGCCAGCCAGTGGCAAGTGCTGAAAGCTTTAAGGCTTCCATATTGGCAAGTGTCAAACAAAGAACAGCTTGCTTACAGTTGGGAGGACTTTGTTCTGTCATGTGTTCTCAGTTTACATACAAAAACCTCATACACACGTATCACAACAGCTCTGTTTATCAGCAAATATTTTTAGTTTTCAGGCAGAATTCCAGCTTCGACTCAAAAGGTTTGGAGACACTAGGCAAGACATACTCATTTGGATGCTGAGGTTACCTCTCTTCGGATTAAGACAGCCTTTTCACTACTAAAATAATCCCTCTATTTACAGGGAGGATAGTGCAGTTGTCCTCAGCACAACCATTAGGCATTTCCATAATTATTTGTCTATATATACCTGGAGACTAATAACGCAACTACCACTTAATTTACCTTCTTATACACTCACAGCCAAA